TTTATTTATTTATTTATTTATTTATTTATTTATTTATTTTGGAGGAGTGGTAGTATAAGAAGGCAAAGGGGTAAGGTTGTCTACAAGCTAGGAAAATAACTTCAGTAGAAACCTGATTTTTCAGCACTTGAATCATGTAACTTAAAATAACTTAAAAAATTGAGTTGTACTTATTTTATAGTTCTTGGTGATATGAATCTGCAGCAATGTCTCTGGGAGCCATTCTCTCTTTCAAGTCTCCTAGCTTTGCTGGTTGCTGAATGTCCTAGTCAGCCCTGGAATTGTGGCTCACACCACTGTGTGTGTCCACAGTCACCTGGCATTCCTCCAGTGTCTCCATTCTCACATTTTTGTCTTCTCACAAGGCAACAAATCAGCTTAATATCATAAAACTATACCATAACTTAATATATCTATACAAATTTTATTTCCAAATATGTCACATTAACAGGTACCAGAGGACAGGTCTTAAATATACCAGGTGTGTGTGTGTGTGCATGCAGGGGAGGCAATTCAATCCTTAATAACAATAAACTTTGGCTTTTCCTTTCTTTTCTTCTTTTTTTTTTTTTTTGGTTTTTAAAAATGTGCTAATGGTGATGTAAGGTGATGACAAAAGGAAAAATTGAAAATGCTTAAGCAGTAAATGAAAAATCTCTATTTTTTAATTTTTTATTTCAGAGAGACAAAAGAAACAACAGTGGAAGATCTCTATTATTTTGGCAACTTAATTGTAAAACCTAAAGTATTGCAAAATAAAAAGTTTGTTAATAAAAATGTAATTTTATAAAAGCAGGCTTGTAAGAATTTTAAGGAAATATGCTTACATTAAGCGAATTAGAAAGCTTCTCTACATCTGTGAATGAGAACATACTCTGTGAATATAATTATAATATTATTGCAAGTCAGCAAAATATAGATAATACAGATTTTTAATTATAATTTCTCATTAGAAATGCTTGCATGAAACTCTTATCTTCCAGTGTGGCCACAATAATTCAGATTATGGTAGTAGGTTTTAGATTCCCTTTTCCTTTCCATCTATGTGGCCTCATGATACATGATGCAGCAGCAATTCAGCACAAAATACCGTGGTGAGGAGGAATGAGAATGTATTATTTCAAAGACATACAAATGCTTTCTTTTTAGCTTTATACCTTTTACTCTTAACTGAGAGACCTTAAGAGAAAATAAGAGCACATATGCAAATAAAGGTTTAGATGATAGAATTGTTCTGTATTTTAGGGAAGGGTCTACAGGGTGTTCAGGGTCTCACTACTAGATCAGACTTGTAGTGATCTTCCTGTTTACAGCCTCCCAAGAGCTGGGATTGCAGGTGTACACCATCACATCCAGTCGTAAGAGCTGTCTCAGCATGCCCAGGGGGTGGGGCTGGTGTGGCAGGCCCAGCGATTGAACCCCCAGCCGCTGCTGCTTGCAGGTGCTTTAATTCACTGAGCTATTTGGCTTGCTCTACATAACAGAAATATTGACAGTCTCTTTATACTGCCTTTCTTTCAAGGGAAAACGAGATCACTTTCAACAAGAGACACAATTCTGTGGAGTGTGTAGCTTGTAGGAGGCTATGGCATTCATTTTCATTCTGAGAAGGCAAAGGGCACTTTGAGGAAGAGCACATAGAAGTAAAGATCTAGAAAGCCCACTGGCCAGGGAGGACAGTTTCTAGTTATGAGCCAACTTCGAGAGGTGAGAAAGTCCATAGCAGCACCAAGCAGGTGATATCGTCATCTAGTGACATAGGCTAGGACACTGTCTGCCTATGACTCATTCAACCCCAGAGAAATGCATTTGCCTGTAGTGAAAACATAGGCAATGTGAATACATGGAAGTTGGGAGTCAGGATGGAGAATGGTAACTTTTTGTTCTACTAAAAGGAAAATCCACTTAACAGGAACTCACTGCGCCCGTGTTAGACTGGTCACCTACCATTTCCAGATTATCTGATTTTCAAAAGACCTGGAAATTTGGACAACAATAATCATTCAATTAAATGTTCAGCAAAAAAAATACATACATTCAAAATGAGAAAAGCAAACTACTTAAGAGGTAGTGAACAGAAATATTGAAACTGTTAAAAAATAACTTGAAACAGAGAAACTTTTGTACATGTCTTGAGAATATCAGTGAATCCAGCCATAGTGGAATAATTTATGGAGGTTGCTCAAAAAATCAGAAATGATGTTACAATATGATATCATGGTGTTATTTCTGAGTACTTTTCAAAGAAATTAAAATCAATATGTGCAAGAAAAATCTCCAGACTCAGGTTCATAGCCACACTATTCATAGTAGCTATGTTACAGAATCAAGCAAGGTGCTTTCATCATATAAATGTAATGTGACATGAATACACAGTATCATGTTGTCATCTTTAAAAAATACAGAGACTCTGTTCTTTGTGGCAATGTTTAAATGAAATATGCACAGCACAGAAGGACACATAAGACATGACCTCACTACAAGTGGACTGTCTACCTGGTAAACTCACAGACTAGACTAGAGTGGTGGTTACCATAGATTAGAGGGGATATCAGGGAAATGTCAGCCAGGTGTACAAAATATCAGTCATATAGGAGGACTAAGGTTAAGAGATCCATTATACAGCATGGTGAATCTGGGTAATAATAATATATTTTATCCTTGAAAATTAATAAAAAAGTTGTTTCAAGTGTTCTGAACCACAAAAAAATGATAACTATGATGCTATTTTGCTAATTAGCTTCATATATCTTTTCTTCCATGTAAGGTATTTCAAAATACCATGTATTACATGATAAATATGTATGTTTCCCTGTCATTTAAAAATGAATTAATTTTAAAAATCAACAAAAATTTAAGGTTGATATTCAACAAAAAGCTAAGTATAATGTTAAGCTACTGTAATGCTCTCTTGTATTTATTGTAGGTTACTTTTCATAATATTTAAACTTACTCCAAGGCTCAGGATGCTGTGGTTCAATCCCCAGATTTTCATGCCTTACCAGACCTGCCTTAAGGCATCCTGAGCCAGCCAAAAAAAAAAAAAAATCCTTCTAAACTTACTCCGTATTAGTTACACAGGTATAGAAAAACCATGATATGTGCCCCACTTCAAATTCCGCAATACTTTCCTAAGGAATGAGTAACTAAAACATTGTGACTTTTACCCTTATTGTATCAAGCGATGCTATGCATTTTATGTGAGTGAATGTAACTGACAAAAAGCAGTTAAAGATGCAATGAGAATCATTCCTTGTAGTCAACCATGCATTTACAGAGTCTTCACCATCATTAACTTTCCCTTTCTTGAAAATGTCAAAATAAAAATGAGCTCTAATTTTGGGTATTAGAAAATGGTTGCTTGTTTTAAATACAAACAAAAACCAACAGAGTATAAGCGAGTAAGACATCAAATAAAAAGACATCATATTTTATTTAAAAAACCCTAGAAGACTAAGAAAACACAATCAAAAATTCAAACAGTTAAGAATAGAAAGCTGATACAAACACAAGTTAGTGATATTTATTAATTTAATTCTTTTAATATTTTGCATATACTACTAAGAAGTCACATTCACAGGTTTAAACTAAAAGTTGACTGTCTTCCGAATACCACACACAAAGGACTCTATGCAAGTTCTCCTGCAAACATCAGTGGAAGGGTTGGACTTTGGATCCATTCAAAGTGTCTTCACCAAGATACCAACAGGCTGAACAAAAGCCATAAGTAGAAGAATGTTATTTTTCTCTTATATTATAGATCAACAAATACATCATACTGTAATACACACAAACTGACTTATATAAAATGTACTATTCATTGTGAGTAGAAAAGAAGACATGTGATAGTTTTAAAACTTTAGTTTACATAAGAATCACTTTGTATACATTAAGAACCACCTGGCCATTTTCCATGTGATTCTGAAGTAATTATAAAGTAGTGAATTTTCTTTCAGAAAAGATTAGTTTAGCCTTTGCCACATAAGAAAGTATCAAATGTTTGACATTGTAAGTTAAAAGTTATTCATAGTACTCATTTTGTAATACTGTTAGAATTATATATGTATATACATATATGTATATAGTCTAGTGTAATTTGTAAACATCTTATATATGAATAATATAAATAAAATCACATCACATATTTATGACAGATATTTTACATTTTAGTTGATTAAATTGTAATTTTTAAGGCATTACACCATTAACTGACATTCACCTTGTTTTCAGTATTTTTGCCATTACTAACAGCATTGTAAAAATAAAAGCTTAAATATATGTTACTTTGTATAGAAAAAATTCTCAAGATAAAAATGGTTGGGTCAAAGGATCTGGAAGTCTTTTTAATATTGTTGTTGGTATTATTATTACTTTGCTACAAATTACTAGATTGTTTCTTCAAAATATAATACAACTCTTCAAGAAGCAGTGTTTAAAAGAAACTTTTATTCTATATTTCCACTGCCAGTAAATTGATGCTATTTTAAATTTTTATAGGCTGATCTATGTAAAGTGATATGGAAATTTTACCTCTAATTTGGATTCTTCAGACATGATGAATTTATGTACTTTGTAAATGTTTATTTGCTACTTGACTTCATTTCATGCTCATTTTCTTCCATAATGTTGTACAATTACATATCGAATATTGTGTACACACATGTAAAAGTTATGCATATATTAACCTGTTTTATGCTATATGTAGTTTATAAAAATAAACACAACTAGCACTTCATTTTATACATATTAATACTTTACATTTTAATGTTTTAGAATTTTTTTGCAGTGTTAGAGGTCAAACACTGCATTTCATATATTTATTTTGCTTGAAACTGCTTATTGAAACCAGGGCCTTCCAAATGAGCTACATTCCCTACTGTTCTCAAAATTTTTAACTTGAGAGAGTCTCACTAAGTCACTAAACCGCTCAGGTTGGGTTCACTCTTGCTGTTCTGCTGCCTCAGGCTCCCAGAGCGCTGGGATTACTACCAAGCACTGCAATCTGACTTATATTTTATAAATGTTTAAGAGTTCCAGCTTTGACCATTTCTCAATGTGCTATTTCTTGTACATAATATATAATATTTGTAGAAGAAAACATGACTTTTTTATCCATTATTTCTAGTCATATATTCCCTCTTCAATTACGTTTTTAAAAATAGAAAGTATATCAATTCACTTGTTTCATTAATTTTTCTCTTCTTTCTTTCTTTCTTTCTTTCTTTCTTTCTTTCTTTCTTTCTTTCTTTCTTCCTTCTTT